ATGGTTCAACATTAGAAAAACAATCAATGTAATCCATCACATAAATAAAACAAAAGACAAGAACCACATGTTCTTATCAATCGATGCAGAAAAGGCATTTGACAAAGTCCAACACATATTCATGATAAAAACTCTCAACAAAATAGGAATAGAAGGGAAATTCCTCAATATAATTAAGGGCATTTATACAAAACCAACAGCCAAAATCATCCTAAATGGAGAGACTTTGAAAGCATTCCATTTGAGAACAGGAACCAGAAAAGAATGCCCTTTATCACCACTTTTACTCAACATTGTGCTGGAGGTCCTAGCCAGAGCAATTAGGCTAGAAAAAGAAATAAAGGGCATCCAAATATGGAGAGAAGAAGTCAAAGTAATTCTATTTGCAGAAGATATGATCTTATACATAGAAAACCCCAAAGAATCCACAAGAGAACTATTGGAACTAATAGAGGATTTCAGCAAAGTTTCAGGATACAAGATAAACATACAAAAATCAGTTGGATTCCTCTACAACAACAAAGGGGGCTCTGAGCAGGAGAAAACTGCCTGCTCCATAAAAAAGAAGCAAATCCAACATGAGAACCAGAGGTTTGAGGCTCATCAGCCACAAACAGACACAGCCGACCCTGCTTCACCGTCCTCCTCCACAGACCCAGGCTGTGCAAAGTGGAGGCATCTCCATTTAGCACACTTTCTGCCCAATCCACTTGGCCAGAACTCTTCAGGGACCCCACTACTAGTCTGGATTTCCTGCCAGGTAAGTAGAAAAATAATTGGAAATGGTATTTTGGGAGCAGGGTGCTGCTGGTTACTAAGAAGAGGCATTGACAACAACAGTACTATCTGCAATTCCAATTGTCCAAATAACATAAGGTACAGCTGGTATCCCAGATTTCTGGCTCTCAGTTCCAGATAGAAGGACTGGGATCATTGCAGGGCAGTAGGGCTGATATCTGACTGCCTAAAATAAGTAGCAATTTATCCAGTGTGGAGGGGATTGCAAGAAGCCAGGATGAATTACCAGAGCAGACAATCTGGAAGGGGACCAAGGCTCAACTCTGTTAGACACCTAAATAAATTTGGCGGGTCTTTTTGCTGGGAGAAGGGGGAGCTGAAGAAAGTTTTCCTCAGGGGCCTGATCACACTATCTACAGCCCTAAATATATCAGTCATGATCCTAAGACCTAAACATCTCTCAAATAATTTAGAACAAATTTCGTTGGTTTTATTATCACTATTATAAAGTAGATATCACAAACCGATTTTCACCAATATATGCATGCATAACCTAGCAATCTCCAATTCACAAAGAAATCAGGAACTAAAAGCCATTTGTTAGGATTTCAGTATAAAATGTCCTCACTAAAAACATGCTCTAATTGGTAATTGGTAAAATAGTACTATATTTTATATACAGGCTAGATTAAACAGACTCTTGTGGACTGGTTAAAAAACCTAAGAAGTATATTGTTTCCATGGTAAAATTCAGCATATTTTTTGAACTATGAACTCTGGATTCGGAGAACGTTCTCACACCCTCCCTGGAAGCCACTCGTAGTGACAAGCACGTTTGAAACTATCTATTACTTAAAAGACAAAATCCAGAGATTCTTAGATTTTACCTATTTCCCCTTATTAGAAGATTCTCTGGAGATAACGTGCCAACGGAGAAGTGCAAGTCTGGAAACAAAATTAGGAACAGAAGAAAGGAAGACCCAGCTTACCTGTGGTCAAGATGACTAAAGTCTTGTAAATTCAATTCCCTGGTGTCTTGAGTCAGATAAATTGTATCCACGTCCTATTTGGGATATAATTCAGTCATGTAAACAGTCCGTGTAAACAATCAGAGAAGCAAGCGATGTGAAGAAAATTAGACAATGACATAGGCAGATTTTTATGTAATCTTAAAAAGGAAAATTTTAAACAACAAACAAAATGTATGATGGGGGGAAAAAGGAGAAAGGAAAAAATGCCAGCCAAATAATTCTCCAGGTATGTGTGTATGTGTGTACAAGTAAACAGGAAAACTTACCCATTGTACTTCTTCCCTGTATGAAAATCCCAGCCAGTCACAAACACAGGCATACATCTGAGAAAACCCACCTGAAGCATACAACAGAAAAGGGACTGATTTTCCGCTAAGTGATTTTTAAATTAAAATTTAAAAGCTTAAATATAGCTGATATTCACAATGCTGATTATCCTTTCCATTTGGGAAAACAGCAAAGATTCTCTCCCCAGTGCTATACTGAGTGCATACCAAGATGTAATGTAGCTTAAATATAGGACTTTTGTCCACCAATCTAAGGTCTGTGTGGTACTAATTATACCTTAAAACTAATTGTACCTTTACAGTAGCATACTAGGAATAGACTTAACTTCCTGGCAGGGGGACAGCCATCTAGCCATTTACATTTTGGGTTTAAAATGCATGCTCACCACATGGGCCCTGCTCAGCCATGGTCTGGCTGTCCCACAGAGCCTGGAGACTGGTCAGTTGCTCAGATGGTTCCATGGAGACTTTTTTCATGATTCTCCTGTAAGATCAATAACAACAACAAATTTCAAAAGCCAAGTGTTTTGAAGTGCCCATAGAGATTTACTTGTGACATGCCTTTTTTTTTTTACAAAGTTGGATGTCACTTCAATTGTGGAAAATACAATCCCATTTTTAGAATGCTAGGCAGCTGGAAATCTCGGGAACCTAATAATAACCCGCTTTATTTAAATCCCCTTGTAATCTAAAGGTTATCTAGCAATGTAAATAACCTCCACATTATTTAGTTACTTTATAACATTAGATTGTATTATAATAGTTAAAAAACAGTGTATTCTATTTAATTAAATTGAGTTATTAAATTATGTGTATATCAAATATAAATGATTAATTTTCAAAGACTTAAGTACAAATCTTCTATGTCTTCCCATAACATCTGGTACAAATGTCCATGAAGAAATTGATCACTCCATATTGGAACAGCTGTTCCTTTTTCTCTCTCTTCCACTGGACTACAATTCTCTGGGCAGATAACATGTCTAATTCCCTGCCACCCCATCCTCAGAGCCTAACTAAGTCCTGCCCCTATATGTAGATGCAAGATAGAGTAGTAGTTAAAAGTGCAGCCAAAAGCCCTGAAGTTTCATTATTCACAGAACTGGTAAAGTAAGAGGACCTACCCCGTAGGGTTATTGTGAGAAAGAAAGAAATTAATACCTGTAAATTTACTAGAACAATCCTTGATACACGGTAAAGTCTCAATAGATGTTAGTTGATGCTATTGTAGTTATCACATAGTAATTATTTAATGAATAGTTTGTGAATTCATTAATTCACTCAAAAGTGTTATTAAATGTCTACAGTGTAGCAAGAACCACCTCCAGATACTAGACACACAACCATGAACAAAACAGATATTGTCCCTGCCCTCACAAAGCACACTTTTTTTTTTTTTTTTCATTGCGAAGCAGATAAATAAACAAGCAATGTGGTTAAGGGAATAACTAAGACAGGGGAAGTACAGGGTGTAAGAGAGGACAAAGAAGGGGCACTTATTCTTTGGTGGGAGAAGAAGAGGCAGTTAAGTGGGGAGTTTAGACATGTTCTTTGGTGCCTAATACATTATGCTGGAGTCCCTGGTTGGTGCAAACAGTTATAACACTGCTAACCAGAAAGGCTGGAGGTTCAAGTCCACCCAGAAGTGCCTCAGAAGAAAGGCCTGGTGATCTACTTCCAAAATATCAGCCATTGAAAACTCTGTGGAGCGCAATTCTACTCTCACATACAAGGAGTCAGAGTTGACTCAGCAGCAACTGGTTTTTATTTTTAAGATCCGAAGGAGGAAAATAATTAATCAGGTGAAGCATGGGGGGTTGGATGGGGAGCCAGGGGTCCCAGAAAGAGTTTCATATAAAGGGAACAGCATGTTTAGAGAGAAAAGAAAGCTTGTGCTCACCAGAAACTGAATTAAAAAAAAAAAAAAAAAAACCCAAACTCAAACTCATTGCTGTAGAGTCAATTCTGACTCACGGCAACCGTACAGAACAGAGCAGAACTGTCCTGTAGGGTTTCCAAGGAGCAGCTGTGGATTCGAACTGCAGACCTTTTGGTTAGCAGCCAAATGCTTAGCCACTGCACCACCAGGGCTCCAGAAACTGAATAAAGCCCAAAATATTTAGCAAATACTGTGTGACAGGGAGAAGGGTTACAAAGGAGTCTGTGGAGGTCAGCAGGAACCAGGTCAAGGGGAGGCTTACAGGTCAAATTAGGGGGTTTGGATTTTATTCTCAGGGCAATGAGGAGTCATGAAAAGACTGTCAACATGGGAGTGTGAGATGATCAGATAGACACTGTAGACAAGTGTGTGTGTTGGGGTAGGAGGATTATGAATAAACTTGGGAATTAAAAAAGAGAAAACCTGGGAAATGAAGAACTTCCTGGGACTTTTAAGGGCCCAAATGTGAGTGGAGGTCATGATTTGTTGGTAGCATCAAGCTGGCGAGCAGTAGGATTTTCTTCCACAGCACTCTTACTCTGCAGCCCAAATGTGTATAGAGAAAGGGGCAGGGTTGCAGGGTTTCCAGCCAGATGTGCTGGGAAAACAGTGGGGACAGAAGGAGCTGAGAATATTGGAAAGGCCTAGCTGATGTGATGGAACACGGGCCAAGTGGTTATAAAAGGAAGGGAAGGCAGAAAGAGAATGGGATGGTGGGGGGTGGGGAGGGACACCAAGGGACCATGGCCTAGAGGCCTTGAAAAGGTCCAAGTACTGCTATCTCCAAGGGAGAAAAGGGAATGGGAGAGCAGGATGATGAAATTGTGGTTTCACCATAGGAGAAGGTGTTCCAGGAGATTACAACATCTAGGATGTGGCCACAAAAGCAAGCAGATAAAGAGGGGTGAAGGTCAGTGGAGGGAAAGAGGCCATAAACTGTGAGGAAGGGTGTGGATGAGTCAGAATCACCCAGACTATGATCAGACTTGGGTGCAAGGTGGTGAAATAAACATACTAAATCATATTAAACATATCCTAATCTTTAATGATTCAAAGTACTTCTGCCATGTATAATGCTTTTAGTCATCATTATGGACTTCAACCACCTTGGTTCCAGTTATTTCCATTTTCCTATTAGATGTATTCCAGATAAAATGTTCTAGAGACTGACAAGTCACCTGGTCAACTTGTTCTATTCCTGAAGAAAACCTCACATACAAATCAAAACATTTAAATACAACATTCTGTCGACATTGATAATATTCCTCCTACTTTACAGTGATTATAATTGAGGCAAAATCAAGTATAACCAATTAATGTCAGCTGTTGTTAATTCCTTCAAACTGTTGTGTGAGTGCATGAAATCTGTAAGTGTAGAACGATTTTTCTTTTCTATTTATCTGAAAGCATCTCTGCCTATGTACCATTATTTTAAAAATTCTTAATTTTGGGGGGAGACCATGGGTTTAACAAGGTATTCACAACTAAAGCGATGCTGCAAAATCTGGCAATTTGGAATAATTAGTAGAACTCATATTGGTTCAGTATCATCATTCTGGTATTTTAGAGGCATTGTCTCCTAGCTATATCAAGATAGGGAAGGCAGATATACAAAGAAACAGCAGAACTGTAGGAAGCAGACAACCCACGCACTTATACGGCTGAATTAAGTAAACCTTGGATACACTGAGCTGGACTTTTGCCTGACTTCATCTGAGATCATATTTCTCTTTTAAAATTCTTGCTGTGTTTCAGCAGAACTGCAGGACATGCTGTTTCAATGACACATGGGATGGAATTTAGCTAGTTAAGAGCGGGAAGAAAAGAAGGCAAAATCTTTGGCAGGTTTGTTGTTGTTGTTAGGTGCCGTCGAGTCAGTTCCGACTCATAGTAACCCTATGTACAACAGAACTAAACACTGCCCAATCCTGTGCCATCCCCACAGTCGTCGTTATGCCTTAGCCCATTGTTGCAGCTACTGTATCAATCCATCTTGTTCAGGGTCTTCCTCTTTTTCACTGACCTTCTCCTTTACCAAGCACGATGTCCTTCTCCAGGGACTGATCCTCCTGATAACATGCCCAAAGTATGTGAGACATAGTCTCGCCATCCTTGCTTCTAAGGAGTATTCTAGTTGTACTTCTTCAAAGACAGATTTGTTCATTCTTTTGGCAGTCCGTGGTATATTAAATATTCCTCACCAACACCACAATTCAAAGGCATCAGTTCTTCTTCGGTCTTCCTTTTTCCTCATCCAGCTTTTGTATGCGTACGAGGCAACTGAAAACACCATGGCTGGGGTCAGGTGTACCTTAGTCTTCAAGGTCACATCTTTGCTTTTCAGCACTTTAAAAAGGTCTTTTGCAGCAGATTTGCCCAATGCGATGTGTCTTCTGATTTCCTGACTGCTGCTTCCATGGGCATTGATTGTGGATGCAAGTAAAATGAAATTCTTGACAATTTCAATCTTTTCTCCGTTTATCATGATGTTGATAATTGGTCCAGTTGTGAGGATTTTTGTTTTCTTTATGTTTGAGGTGCAATCCATACTGAAGGCTGTGGTCTTTGATCTTCATCAGTAAGTGCTTCAAGTCCTCTTCACTTTCAGCAAGCAAGGTTGTATCATCTGTATACCCAGCATACAGACTGAACAGATACGGTGAAAGGATACAACCCTGATATGCACCTTTCCTAACTTTAAACCATGCAGAATTCCCTTGTTCTGCTCAAACGACTGCCTCTTGATCTATGTACAGGTTCCTCATGAGCACAACTAAGTATTCTGGAATTCCTGTTCTTCGAAATGTTATCCATAATTTGTTAGCCACACAGTCGAATGCCTTTGAATAGTCAATTAAGACACAGGTAAACATCTTTCTGGTATTCTGTGCTTTCAGCCAGGATCGATCTGACATCAGCAGTGATATCCCTTGTTCCATGTCCTCTTCTGAATCCAGCTTGAATTTCTAGTAGTTCCCTGTTAATACACTGCTGCGGTACTCTTTTGAGTGCCTTCCAACCTGAGGGGCTCATTTTCTGGCACTGTATCAGACAATGTTTTGCTGCTATTCATAAGGTTTTCACTGGCTACTTCTTTTCAGAAGTAGACTGCCAGGTCCTTCTTCCTAGTCTGTCTTAGTCTGGAAGCTCAGCTGAAACCTGTCCACCATGGGTGACCCTGCTGGTATTTGAATACTGGGAGCATAGCTTCCAGCATCACAGCAACACACAAGCCCCCATAGTACGACAAACTGACAGACGTGTCAGGGTTGGCAGGTAGCAGGTGGGATTAAGAATAGGTAGGGGACAGTCTAGAATAGTGGGGAGAAATAAACTATTCTTTATTGTAGACTCCCACCACCCATCTATCAGTTTGTCATACTGTGGTGGCTTGCATGTTGCTATGATGCTGCAAGCTATAGCACCAGCATTTCAAATACCACCAGGGTGACCCATGGTGCACAGGTTTCAATGGAACTTCAAGACTAAGACAGACTAGGAAGAAAGCCCTGGTGATCTGTTTCCTAAATTAGCCAATCAAAACC